AAAATATCGACACCAGGATGATGCCTGCAGCTGCGGCCACGGCGCCAATTCCAAGATTGTACAAATGTCTAATTAGTGACACACTTGAATAAACATTGTCCGAGTATAACTGGCACCTCATATGGAAAAAGGGTGACACCAAGTCCCAAACTATCTTGCCACTGCTGGGTATCCAGGGGGCTACACGTGACTATCTTTTCCCTCGTAAATCCAAAAATTACATGTATAGCCTATTGCCATCTCACAGGTCTTTTTCACCCTATATCTGGCACGCTTGCTGGGGAGAAATTGTTTGAAGGGCAAGGCGGACAGAAAAACTAATGAGGGGCTCATCAACACAGATGTTTTGCTGGGGAGTTTACACATCTGAAAATTTGTGGTTAAAATGATTTACGAGGAGCCGAATTTTGTGGAGCCGGTCAAATTCAGGGTCACCCCAAGGACGACACAGTGTATTGTTGTTGAAATGCGTAAATCGCATTATATTCTCATATCTATGCCTGGCCATGGCAGCAGAGAACATGGGCATATGATGAATCGTGTCTGTGGACCAATACAACAGCAATTAATTTTTTTTTAGTAATGCCCATGTTGAGGGTTAGGCCTCAAAAAACTTTAAATTTGGAAACTGTAATAGGTTTCCATGCACATGGTCTGGCAAGGTTTGAATCTGGATTGGCAGTGATAAATTGTTGTGCATATAAATTGCTTTGATCCATAATCAATGCATACAGATCTTCTGTGAAAAACAGCTCTAAAAAAATCAAGGGGAGTAGTTTAATTTACTGTTTCCACCTGAATTCCAGGCTGGGCAGTGAATGGGGGAAGTACGGGTGCTGCAGAATTTGTGGGCTGCCAATCAGGATTTGCAAGCACATCCGTAAGGACACTATGAGTTCTACGGGCCTGAGTGAGAATTCTTGGTGGCTGTGGAACACTACTTGTGCTAGCCACCGCACCATCTTGTACTGCACTTATGGGACTCGCCACATCACCAGGTGATACTGCAGTGCTGGTATGTATAAAATCAGGATGTACTAAGCTGCTGGTGCTCGACAGTTCACCAAAAGGTAGAGCGGCACTAGTACTGGCACTCTGCTGTATATTAGAATCATCATGCAATTGTACCACCTAAGCAACCTGGGATCGGGGTCAGGGACGCCTGACCTCAACAGGGACCTCTACTCCATCATCTGAGCTATCTGTCAGGGTGCCACTGCTGTCTATAGGTTTGTATTCTGAGGCAGATTTTGTCAGTGAGGCTTCCCCTTCGCTCTCACCAGACACTATCAGAATCCTGTAGGCCTCTTCACTAGAGTACCTTTCGTTTGACATTTTGGCCACTAAATTTATAGGTACCTAGTGCGACTCACGTGAAATAGAGCACTTGGCTGTCAGGGACTGCTTGAACCACTACAAAAAATTTACATGCAAATGCTAGCAGAGATCAGGCCTGATTCTGCTAACACTGCGGTTTTGTGTGCAGTGTATCAAGTGACAGTGATCTACTGACACTGCACTTGCTGGGGGAAAAGGGGGAGTAAGCGAAGGGGCTAAACGTAGGTGCTGGCAGGTACTAATGACACTGGTGACAGGACAGTGAAGGGGTTAACTGGGGGCAATCAGGGGTTAAATGTGTCCTATGAGTGCTTTTTTTAGTGTGTGTGTGTGTGTGTGTGTGTGTGGTGATTTTACTCAGATATATCTGTTTTTCTCCTCTCTTTGGAACAGAATATGTCCGGGGAGAGAAGATTGCATAATTTCCTGACCATCACTGGCCTGAATCTGGTACTGAATCACGGCACCGCTGGGGTGGCTGGCGTGTGCGCCTCCGGCCTGCAATCAGTGATGACCCTAATGACACTATTGACAGGGCAGTGAAGGGGTTAACTGGAGGGCAATCAGGGGGATAAATGTGATCTATCAGTGCTTTTACTGTGTGTGTGTAGTGATTTTGCTCACATATATCTGTTTTGTTCTCTCTTTGGAATGGAATATGCCCAGGGAGAGAAGATTGCATTATTTCCTGAACATCACTGGCCTGAATCTGCTGACTGATCGGTCAGGCACCGAATCACGGCACCGCTGGGTTGGCTGGCATGTGCGCCCCTGGCCCACGATCACGGCGAAAGCATGAACCACATATATATACGTAATTTTGCACAGGGAGCCTGTCCTGTAGCAGTAATTCTGCTATAGGGTGGAGCTAATGTGGTTCTCTCGCCTTTTTTGAGAAGTTTATGCAATTTAGCTTTATCGAGTGTTAAATAAAGACCCTGTTCATGAATATAAAGCTAAATTGAATAAACGTATCAAACAAGGTGAGAAAAAAAGAATTCTTAATAAGAAAGAGGCACTATATTTGGACCCTATTGCCTGTAGAACACCTACTTATTTCTTGTCAAAAATGCATAAGAATGCAGAAGACACCCCCCCCCCCCCAGGAGGCCCATTGTTAATGGAATTGAGTCTGTTACCACTAGGTTGGGACAATACATCGATTATTATTTGCAACCAGTGGCTGCAGCAACAATTGCATATTTGAAAGATACCAAATTCTTGAATCCTTACCAATACTCGATACAAGCATATTAGTGACAGCTGATATAAGCTACTTATATACTACTATTAGTCATGAGGATGCAGTTAAATCAGTTAAATGGGCTTTAACCACTTGACCTCCAGAGGATTTACCCCCCTTTATGACCAGGCCTACGTGAAAGTTATAGCGTTTACAAATGGCGAGAAAGATACTGGGATATTTAGGTTTTTTTTATACTAATAATGATGGCGATCAGCGACTTATGGCGGCGATCAGCGACTTATAGCGGGACTGCGGAGGACATTCTGACATTGGGGGGTACTGACTTGGGGTCACTGACATCCCCAGTGACACCAATACAGTGATCAGTGCAAAAAAAAAAAAAAAACACTGACACTGTACTAATGGCACTGGGGAGGAAGGGGTTAAGTTTATTTTTCAGGGAAAGGGTTAACTGTGTGAGGGGAGTGTTTTACTAGGGGGTGGGGGTGTGTACTGCAGGGAACACCGCTGATCGGGAGTGAGAAACTATTCTGACCCGTTCAGCATGTCCTGGAGCTGTCAGGGAACTGACAGAAAGCACAGCTACTGCAGCTGTGCTCTCTGTCAGCGATTGCTGCCGATCGCCGGGACATAGCCGGTAACGACCGGCTGTGACCCGGCGACTGACATCCGCAGCTGTGATTGGCGGGACAGGTAGGGTGGCCGCGCGCCCCCTACCTGTTTACAAAACACGTTTTAAAACGTGGTTTTGCCCAGCCGTGCCGCCCTGCCGCCATATTTATACAGTGGCTGGGTGGCATGTGGTTAAATATGTCGGCAGTACAAAAGTATTTACTCCAGTTTCTGGAGTTTTGTTTATCACATAATTATTTCTGCTATGATTTCAGATATTTCTTGCAAATCACTGGGGGGTGGCGATGGGCATTCAGTTTGTAGCCAATATATTTATGGTTCAATGGAAGGACGAAACAGTATTTTCCAATTGCCCCTCGCAACTCCTATGTTACAAAAGGTTTATAGATGACCTATTTATGGTCTGGAATGGGGATATGGAATCTTTAGAATCTTTTATGAATTTTCTAGATAATAATAATCAGAATATTATATTTAGATTTGGAGAATTATAAGGATAATTGGCTGATTAAAACTAGGAACAATTTTAAACCTACAGACCGTAACACTTATATTTCATTAGATAGTTGTCATCATGAGGCTTGGCTTTGCAATATACCTAGAGGGCAGTTTATTAGATTGTGACATAACTGCTCATCAGAAATAGAATTTTTACAGCAGTCTGAGGTATTAGCATCCAGATATAGACAGAAAGGATACACTGGGTCATTAATAGAGGAAGAGATACAGAAAGTTAGAGGAATGGAAAAAAATAGTTTAATTAATGAGTTGGGTCAAAGGTTGAGAGGAGAGGGGCACGAATTTAGTATAATGCTTGATTATAATGTACAATTTGAGGCAATAAAAAAGATCACTAAGAAATATAGGAACATCGTATTGAATCATAAAGTTTTTAGTTCTATTATACCTTTATATCCAAGGTTAATTAATAAGAAAGTTCCAGCATTGAGATATAAGTTAGCCCCCCAGAGTACTTGACCCCCCCCATTAAGAGACAGACCAATGTTTGTCCCACTTTCGTCGGATTCTATAGGTGTGGGAAATGTAATGCCTGTAGACATGCCACGGAAGGAATTATTTGCTACATCAACAGGGAGGAATATAACATCAAGGATTTTATCACTTGTTATTCACAGGGGTTCAGTTATGTTAGAATGTCCATGTAAAATTCAGTATGTGGGTATAACCTCTAAACAGCTTCAAGTTGGGCTAAGGGAGCATATCAATAATATTAAAAAAGGAGAAAGAAAAAAATCATAGCGTTGCTAAACATTTTAACCACTTGCCAAAAGGGCACTTATACCCCCTTCCTGCCCAGGCCAATTTCAAGCTCCCAGCGCTGTCACAATTTGAATGACAATTGCGCGGTCATGCAACACTGTACCCATATGAAATTTTTATCATTTTTTGTGACAGATAGAGCTTTATTTTGGTGGTATTTAATCACCTCTGGGTTTTTTTTAAATTTTTTCTTAAACCAAAAACCACTGAAAATTTTGAGAAAAAAATGTTTTTGCTTAGTTTTTGTTGTAAAATTTTGTAAATAAGTGATTTTTCTCCTTCACTGATGTGCACTAATGAGGCTGCAGTGATGGACACTGATAGGTGGCAATGATGGGCACTGATGAGGAGGCATTGACAGGCATCACTGATGGGCACTGAAAGGCAGCACTGATATATGGCACTGATAGGCAGCACTGATATATGGCACTGATAGGCGGCACTGACTGGCACTGTTAGGAGGCATTGACGGGCACTGATAGGTGGTACTGATGCACACTGATAGGCGGCACTGACTGGCACTGATAGGTGGCACTGATTGGCATTGATAGGTGGCACTGATGGGTGACACTGAAAGGCAGCTCAGATGGGCACTGATATGTGGCACTGATGTGCACTGTTAGGCACTAATATGTGGCATTGATGTGGCACTGGCAAGTGGCACTGTTCAGCACTGGCAGCTGGCACTAATGGACACTGACAGGTGGCACTTCTGGGGCCACACTGATCATCAGGGCACACTGATCATCAGTGCCCTGATGATCAGTGTACATGTCCCCTCCGCGGAATGCCAATTACCGGCTCTCCTCTCGAGCTGTCAACGTGACAGCTCGTGAGGAGAGAAATGTCGATAACCGGCATTTCCCTGTTTAAATGTGATCAGCTGTGATTGGACACAGCTGATCACATAACCGAGCCGACATCTTCGGCTCTTTCCATAGATCGGTGATCCGCTGTGTCCGAGGGACACAGCGCACCGCCGATCACTGCGTGCTCCCTGAGCCGCGCATGCGCAGTGAGAATGGGAGGACGTCATATGACGTCCTCATAGAACGAGAGAGCCACCTTGCGCCCGTCTTTAGACTATATGGCGGGGCGGGAGGTGGTTAAAGAGGTTCAGAATAAAGATCCTAGCCGTTTACAATTTTGGGGTATAGAAAAGGTAGAAAAGAATTAGAGGGGTGGAAACTACATCAGGAGCCTGAGCTGTAGAGAGTTTTTTTGGATCTATGAGACTCAAGTACTTTCCCCTAAAGGTCATAACGTAGAGTTTGACCTAAATTGTTTCATCAGTGATCGGTAAACATGAAATCCCTCGAATGTATTTGATCATAATTTCATTTTGTATATAATTTTAATACAATTGTTTACATATTTTTAGTATTTATTAAATTATATTATTTTTATATTGTTATATTATATTGTATTCTTTAAGATGGCCACTAGACAATTATTTAATCAGTTTGTATGTAGTTGGTTAAAGCCTGTTTTCCCTCTTTTTCTGGTTTAACATTCCGCTTCCTGTGTGGTGCGGTTGTTGCCATGGTGCTGGTAGGGTCACAGTTGTTATTCCGGTCTTTATGGGTGTGTACCACGTTACCCTATTTTTGGTAGGGAGATCTTAAATTGCAGGTATGTCGTCGGCTCCATGTCTACTGAGGAAGTCCCACCCATTACATAACGTGTGTAGGCTGAGGAGCTACGCACATAACATCATCCCATGGTCATCTTGGAGAGTTGTTGCAAACCTGTATATGCTTTTTACTTGCACTTTTGCTATATCTTGTTAGTTTTAACCATTTTCAGCAGTAAAGAAATTTATTTGCAGTGTACAGTATGGGCTGTCTTGTATTTTTGCATGATATTACACATGATATCATAGGAGAGGTTACAAGTGGAAGAAAACGTTAATTGGATAAACAGTCTCACTTTTAAAGGGAAAGCATGTATGACTTATTGTTAGCGCTGTAGTCATTAAACTGAGGTGAGTGGCCAATTTGTGTGGTGGTGGTTGAAGCACTAATGGTGTGTTTACACAAAGATGTAAAATAGCATTTCGCATGATTTGGAATTTTTGGGACATTTATCACTTGGAGAATAGATGGACAATTTATTTACCGTATTCTATATCATTGTTTTATTTGGTTGTGCTACACTACTCTGTTTATTGTTTAGCAGAGCATCCTTTTAAATTAATTTTTTTTTTGCATGTAATAATAATTTTGGCAATATATATTATTCACTATTTGTGATTGAGCGGATTGTTATATTTTGATAGTGGTGATTAAATACCACCAAGAGAAAGCTCTATCTGTCTCAAAAAACAATACAAATTTCATTTGGCAACAGTGTTGCATGAGTAATTGTCATTAAAAAATATGACAGCGCAGAAAGCTGAAAATTGGCTTGAACATGAAGGAGGTGTAAGTTTTCAGTGTTGAGGTGGTTAAATAAAGCCAAACTAAGTTATGGATCAATCTTTTTGGTATAAGCTTTGATATGTTGTATGTATGTGATATAGAAATATTATATACAGTATCGCTAAATAAAATAGAAATAATATATACAGTATCGCTAAATAAATAATAAAAAAACATTTATTCTTAAGGGAAATCAGATTAACATTTATATAAATATCTAACCTTCAATTTTGGCATATTCTGTAAGTCGGGTGTAATTGATCAGAGCAGCTTTTTCAAGGCATCTTCTAATAACCTTCTTGACCTCTTCAGCAGGTATAGGTGTTGCAATATCTTTCATTAAAACCTGAATTTTAAATTAAAAATATTAATCAGGGAGAATTAAATTTTTCATAAAAGTAACTGCAATGCCATTACTGAAAGTGCAACTATAGTGGGCTTTTTTTTCCTTTCTTTGTTTGTTTCAGCTATACAAGTATAACCAGCATGTAAGTGTAAAAAGAAAAAAACAAAAAAAAAAAAACCAAACATTCAGTAATTCAGCATTAGGCAGTCCTGGCTGATCAGACTCAACCACGCCTAATGTTTGGCACAATAAAGCCAAACGGTTCTTGCCATGGAATGACAAGTATACCTTAACGCCAGTCTCTTCAATATTTCTCAGGTCTGCATCACTTTCTATAGCTGGTTTCAGGAAAGGCTTGCCAATAGACGAGATGGCTCCTCCGGATGGACTTTTGCGCACAAGCTAATACAGGTTTCCTCTTGTGCTAGCAGGAATTGGGCACATGCTAATGCGCATGTGCATACCCGTACGCACCAGTGCTCACATGCACTTGTGAGCTGCTGGCTTTAAACAGGACCAGTGCTCAGGATCAGTGTTGCTTTGTGTTTAGCCTCCTGTGTATCCTGTGATTCTGTATCCTGACTCAAGTTGCTGACCGGGCTTGTCTTGACTACTCTCTGAAGTCTGCCTACACTGACCTCGGCTTGTCCTCTGACCTCTGCTTCTGTTTGCTCCATTGGCTACTGCTTCACTGATCTTTCCAGACCTAACTAGTTTCCTGACCACACTCCTGAATGTGCCCTATAGGTGATCCGTTCTGTCTGTGTATGATCTAGCCTGCCTGACTCTGCTACTCTGCCCAATGTCACCGGTACCCGCTACCAGCTGCCTGCCTGCTTATTGGAGTCTTTTGACAACTTCACATGCACAGCGTGGACACCCCCTCTACTGCTAGCAAGACTTACAGGCATTCAAGCCACACTGTACCCCTGCACCTCCTGTCTACACTACCAGGGTCACCGAGTCAGAGGTGTAAGAGAGGCTTTCCTCATGTCAAGCTCTGCTATCAGGTACGTGATAGCTGGCCTGAAGGATGAGATAAGGAGATGTAACACTTCTGAATATAAAGGAAATATGCCACTGATTGCTAAAACTCAATTTTATTTAAATCTTGCATCACAGGAAACAAGGTGTCATCATATTTATGACTACTTATGGTATGCTCTGACCGTCAGGTGAATGGATACTGGCCACAAATAGGCAGGATTTCCCATTCAGGCATAACCTCTTCCATGCTCACATAAATCTTAGTTTTTTGCTTAGGTGAGGCATGTGCCTTTAAAGTCTCTCTGAAGATTCTCTTTGTGAGTGTTAGTCCTGGGGAAGGGACAGGATTTCATTTGCATTGGTCTTGGACCTGGGGTACTTGGACCCCACACGCAAGAGCAGGGATGACCTTTATAGTTCCCGTTTGTCACTGTATCCTGCAGGCAGCAATCTAAAGGTACCTGGAATCTGGTGACCTCACTGTCAAAATGCTATCCCTGAAGGCCCTGTGGGGTAATCCATTATAAGAGGTGAAGATTGGGTCTCTGGCCCTGCAGCTATAGAGCAGTGTCTTATGTGGAACCATTGTTTCCTCCCTAGTGTGCTTGGAGCAGCTGGTATTGTGTGTGCATGGTAGCCACTACTCTGTCACTGAAGTGAAACATATCTGTGCATGGGTGGGCACCATCCTGACGTGTGATCGGCAGTGCTTCTGCACAGCTCCAGCACATCAGCCCTTGGCAGCAACTACTCCACTCACTGCTGCCTCTGCAAGTGATGCTAAATTGGTGTCTGGCTTTGGCAGACACTCATCAGCATAGGCCTATTACCCTTAGCAACCCATGGCACTGTGAAGATAGAGGTGGGCGAGTGGAACTCCCAATTCCCTCTATCAGTTATGGAGAATCCCCTGCATAGTTCACCCTGTAATGGCTCCCCTAAGGGCCAAAGTAGTTTCAGATCCCTCACCTTATATTGTATTTACACTGTATAAGAGGCAAAATCTTCTGACTTCTTTATGTTCAGGAAGGAATTTTCAGCAGCCATTTCTGATTTGCATGGCCAGCTTTCCCATAATGCCTGGGATGCAACCTTGGGTACTCTCTACCCCCCTCCTCCCCACCCGGTCCTTCACAGGGAAATGAGGTATTGAAGGAACATCCTCTGGATAAACAGAAGGAAGTTGTTGAGGATCAGGAATGCTCTTTGGATGAACCGAAAGATCAGAGCTGTCTCTTATGCAGAAGACCATGATTGGCTTCCTGGCAGGCACTGAGCAAACACAGCAAGGTCTGAGTAGTCCTCTTCTAAAGTGACTGCAATGGAGTCCTACTGCTGCCAAAAAATCTCAAATCTGTTTATGTTCATCTGCATTTGAAGGAGGTGATGTATGCCAATTGGGGTCACCTGGAAGAGGTGTTCTTACCATCTGAGTGGCTCATTCAGCACTACCCCATGGTGGAATAGTTCTATATGAATTGGGGTTCTTTGGCTATTAACCCATTTCCTACTTGAATAAGACCCTGATGCGCCCTGAGGATGAGGTCCTGGTCTTTAAAGACACCACGGACAAGAGGCTGGAGGTCATCTTTAAGACAACCATTTCTCTGGTGGGAGCAGCTCTGTAGCTGGTGGTAAATGCATTGGAAGTTTCTCAAGTTCTTAAAGTTTAAGCTTTGTTTCAGAGAATCAGACCCAGGAAGATTTTCCGAGAGCCTTGAATTTCTCAAGAGATGCCTTAGAAGACTCCATTTGACAATTTCCAAGTTGGACACCATGTTCATCCACATACTGTAAGAAGGATCCCATAGCTCAAGTGCTAGTCGCCTTAACTTCTTTACAAGAAACAACTTACGAAGCTACCCTTAGAAGCCGAGTGCTTGTTTGGACTGACCTTGGATGCCATCATCCAGAAGGTGACTGTTGCCAAAACCACACTCTTACCCCTAAAGAAAAGGATGAAAGAGAGAGCAGTCAGAAGTCCCAGTTCCATAAGAAGGACTGGACTTCAAGTACTCCAGGTCAGTAAGGAAGTCCTCTTCACAAATAAGGGGTGCCCCATTTTTGTACAGGTGAAGAAACACCTACTGGCCTTTGTTTTGTTTTTT